CAACAGAAAAGACTAAGTCTACCAGCTGATTCATCCAACACTAGTAATTTTATTTCAAAATATAAATATTTTACATTTATAAAGAAGTTACATTAGTAGGTTGTCAAAGCAAGTTAAAGCTAAGAAACGGTATTTGTGTGACAATGATATTTATTGTTGTCTTTGATTATTCTTTTATACTTTCAAACCATCTCTCCTTTGCCTGAGAATGCAAAGATGATATACTTTAAAAGAATTACATAAACAATTACAACTATATATCCAAATCTTGGTTCAAAAATCAAACAATATTTGAAATACACTCCAGTCACCTAAATAAGTGGCACTCCACAGGACAAAGAAGGGTTTTCTTTGAGATAGGTAGGTACAATGAAAGTTATACTTTCTGGGTCATTGCAATAAAAAAGAAATGATACTTGATAAGCTAAGATGATTTGGTTTAGGATTTGTTTTCATATCTTTCACTGTAAAACCTAAAGCTAGAAGAAAAATAAGAAACCAGTGTGAAGGGTGGCACCGGTGGCTCAAGGGAGTAGGGCACCAGCCTCACATGCCGGAGGTGGCGGGTTCAAACCCAGCCCTGGCCAAAAACTGCTTAAAAAAGAAAGAAAGAAAGAAAGAAAGAAAGAAAGAAAGAAACCAGTGTGAAGCAAAGAACTGTGGACTTGGAGTCAGAAGTTCTGCAACTGAATTCTGGCTCCATCATTCTGTGGAATAAACTTAGGGGGAAATCACAAAAAAAAAACAAACCTTTCACAGCCTCCTGTGTTTCATCTGTGCAATGAAGATAATACTGCTTTATCTCATAGGGTGTTATTGAAGATGTCTGAAAACTATAAAGTGCCATACAAAAGCATTATTAAAACGTAATATCAACATATCACCACTGTATTTGCACATTAATCGATCCTTGAAAAACTTGCAAAATTAAACACACATACTGATTTTTACACACCATAGGTGGAAAAGAATCTCTATACCTTAAGCATAGCTCTGAATGGCTAATATGCTTCCTTTCTGGAGGAAAACTTGGAGATTTGTTACAGATCACATGGTACAACCAGTAAGACATCCCATTCAGTATTTCCATTAGGGATGTTTTCTAAAAGATTGATTGAGAGCTATGTTTCCTAAAGGACCTATGGATGCTCTGAGAAAAGGGGGCAGGGTGTACAGTATAAGGTCAGTCTTTGTCCCCTCTTATAAATTCACAATGTAAGCCAGGAGTTGTGGTGGGTGCCTGCAGTCCAGCTACTCGCTTGGGAGGCCGCAGCAAGAGGATTGCTCAGACCCACAAGTCTGAGGTTGCTGTGAGCTATAATGCCATGGTATTCTATGCAGGGTGTCAGAGTGAGACTCTGCCTTCAAAAAAAAAAAAAAAAAAATCACAATGTATAATAATAGCATGTTAAAAACTCTTGTAAGTCCCAGGACAGAAAACTCAACATTCCTTGATTTTAACTGATCGTGGAATCCCCATCCCCATATATACGTACTTTCTCTTACATCATCTATTCCCATGTCTTGGAACTACTACTATAAGGAACACATTTTGCCAAAAGCTGCTTAACTATGAGGAAAAGAGAAGTAGAACAATGGACAGAGAAAAAAAGTATTTGACTCTGAATTCTGTTATTAACTGGCTGTGTGACAAATAAGACCATTTAACCCATGAATTTGTTTTAGTTTCTAGAAAATGACAAGATCACATATTATTTATGGCCCATTCCAGCACTGAATTTGAGACTCTAGTAGATGAAACATCTTGATTTATAATTGTTTTTAAATAATAAAAAAATGCTCAGTGCCTTCAGATATCATGTGTATTTTATGCAGGTTTTTAATAATAAGTTAATAAAATATATTTTGATGGCAGAATCTGTCAGGACAACATATTGATAAATATTTGCTTTTAGCTGAACTAGCACTTGATGTTACGTTTCCACCCCCAAAGACTTGTAAGTCTGTAAGGGTCTTAGGTGACTCCTCAGAACAGATGGCAAGATCAGTTGGGAAGACCTGGGGTTTTTTCCTACAAACCCTGAGGTTGAATGCTCTGGATAGCTCACATAAATTACTTTGCTCTAATCTAACTCCTCATGGCCTGAATTTCTGAGAAATTCTGGCCTAGCAGTGACACATTTCTGAGGCACTGATGGTTCCCAACCAAAATGGGAACTAGAGATACTAGGAAGTCCTAAAGTGTCACAATGGGTTCATTTAGTGGCCCTTTGACTGGAATAAGCAGCTACATTTCCAAAGTTTGCAGAATTTTTTTAAATACAGGGCCTCCAGGCAGCATGCCTCAGTGTCTTCCCACTGTCCAAGTCAACCCAGGTTAGACTCAGACGTCTGTCAAGGGAAGGCTCTACCAGCTAACCGCCTCTCATCCAAGAGAACATTGGAAAACCTTGCAACTTGAACAATCACTAAGATTAGCATGTAAGGCAGCCTGACAGAGATCACTGCCAGGAACAGGAAGTAAGAGGAACTTTGAAACTCAAGCAGGACTCATAAGGACATGAAATTTATGCTGAAGATCCCGTGCCACCTTCTCTCTCAGAAAAAAGAGGACCATATCTGCGTGGAGAGCTTTTATCTCCAGTCCTCTGTTCCCTCATTCAGTTCACAACTCAAAAGTAAATGTGAAAATACAACAAAGATGAGTTTTAAATATTTTAGAGACAGGGTCTCATTCTGTTGCCCAGGCTGGAATACAATTGTGTAATCACAGCTCACTGCAGCCTCAAACTCCTGGGCTCAAATGATCCTCCCACACCAGCCTCTCAAGTAGCTGGGACCACAGGAGCATGCCACCATGCTAGCGACTTTTTCTACTTTTTATAGAAATGGGGTCTTGCTATGTTGCCAGTTTAGGCGTAATCTTTAATAAACCTATAAAATGCAAGATATGATGATAGATTTCTACACTCCATTTTCATTAAAGCTACTTCTACTTCATCCATGCATCATATGTTCCTAGAGAAAGTTCCTCTTTCTGGGTCAAATTCTAATTGAGACTCCGAGGGTAGGTTATCTTTGAGACTTGAACTTAATCCTATCCTTTCATACCTATTGATCTCTATGCCCCGTGAAAATTCTGGAAAACCTCTTCACTGTATATGAGTAAGCCTGCTGGTTTTCTCTGGCTCTGAGAGTTCCAAGAAGACCTCCCTAGCTGGCAGACCTTCCTAGTCCTTATGCATTGCTATAGCCATGGAGCAGTTCAAGTTTCCTGATTAGGACAGTGTAGCACCCTAGGGCACCTCTGCTCCTGATATTTCAGAGTGGTATTATATTACCTGCTAATTTTGGAAGCTCTAATCTTTTCTCCTACGGCTCAGAGTTCCCTTCTAGGAACGTGGCATTCATACTAATAATTATCCCAGCAACAGCTAAATATTAGCTCAAGTTTAGTTTTTTATAATATCACTTTACATAGCTAAAAGCACTTTGTATATAGACACCACCTCACTGTGAATAGCATTTGCCTCTTACGGATATGTGCTAATTCCAGCTATAAATTTACAAGTATAAATGAACAAAAATAAACCTGCTTTCTTTCTTAACCTTTTAATGCAAAAATTTAAATTTAGTATTACACATGATCTGCCTAAGATTTAAGGAGAGGCCTTTTTAGGAGTGAACTCCCAGCACCCTTACTGTCCCTGACATGGAGCTTACAGTTTAGCAAACTCTCAAGAAATGTTTTATTGAACAAATAAAGGACTGAATAATTGATTAACACATAGGAGAACAGCAGATTATAATTGTTGAAAGAGTCATAACAGACATGAGATCTGCATGTAGTCTACCACATAAAAACCAGTCCAGCAACCTCATGGTAGCCTTTTCTAGATGGGGTTTTTCTTTAGTGTAAGGATCAATTTAAGCTAATTATCATGAACTTCTTGATAAGATGCTTGGGAAATAATTATTTCCACCTTTCAATAGGAAATCTTCAACACTGATGAACTCCTTTCTCCTCCATCTTCTCTTGGGAGCCAAAGGAAGGGCCTGATGATTGTTTTAAACAGTGGGAAGGGCACAGTGAAGAGCTGGGACCCAGGCCCGGCCCTGTCATGAACTACCCGTTTTCACTCACAAAAAAATGGATAGCAACACCTATTCTATCTTATAGCATTGTGAAAATTGCCTAAGAAAGTAGAAGAAACATTCTCTAGCACAGCAGAGGTCACTGGCTGTGGAGTCAAAGATCTCAGGCCAAATGTCACTGCTCTTTATGACCTGGTGTTGGTCACTTTGCTGAACCTCCGCTCCCCCATGGGCATGAAACCCTTATAAAATGATGTGAGGCTACCCGAAAGCTGATGCAAAGTGGTTCTGAAACAATATGTACAAAAGGACTTCATGAAATGGAGAGGACTCTGCTTGTGATTGTCATATCTGTGAGATTTTAAAAGTTGCAATTCAGCTCAACAAGCATTTGTCTAGAGTCATTTGTGCAAGGCACTGTGCTAAGTGATGTAAAAATACTATATAAATATAAAATGCTGCTAATAACTGGCAGAATGCCAAGTAATGAGATAGGGATATATTTCACAAATCAGAGTATTGGTATACCTGAGATTTTTTTCACTTAAAACATGTGGGGAAAAAAATTTAATAAAAGCATGAATTCTATCATTATTATTACCACTCATAGCAGTTTAGTAAGTATTTTACTTCAATGTGGTCAAGCAAGTTTTCAGATTTTGGCAAGAGAATAATAGGGAGGGAAAGGAAGGGAAGAGCTTTAGTTTTTCTGTCTCCTGTGGTTGCAATCTACAACTGAACATCGAATGAGCCACCCCACTCCAATGCTTAAGATTTATTCTTTCTTAAAGAGGGGACAATACATTATGCGAGAAGGACAAAGATTGATTTTTCCTGCTCACGCAACTACAAATTCAAAGTGAAAGCCCTCTTCATTGAAAAGTGACTGTCTTACAAAAGTTTAATACATTTCTTAAAACAAGAGAAAATTAAACTGTATATTATTTCGACAACAAGTAGTTTAGAGTCCTTAAAATAACATTATAAATACATAGTATAATAATATAGATAACCAAAGTGGAAACATTTTAAACTATAGTACCAGTGTACAAACAAACTTTTTAAGCCATCTTAGCAACTGTGTAGCGATCAAACCACATTTCTGAACTCCCAAGCAGTGTTTTAAAATGCAAAGCAGCCCACAGCAAGTTCTCTCTTGTCCAGGCACTGGGTATGTAAGGCCAGGAGGCTTCTGCTTCTTTCCTGGACCGTACTTCCTAGGCACAGCTGAAAGGGCGAGGGCTCACAGCTGAGTTCAACTCACTGTCAAGGTTCAAATTCCTAGAAAAATCACTGTAGTGGAAACCATGTCAGTCTGCTGAAGATTTCAGATCTTCAGAAATGTCACGGAAGGTCCTAAGAGAAGATAGAATAAATAACATAATTAATCACCATACAAAACTACCTTGTTTTTATAATCATTGAGAGTCGTTTTTGTTTTTTTTTTTTTTTGAGACAAAACCTCAAGCTGTCACCCTGGGTAGAGCTCACAGCAACTCCAACTCCTGGGCTTAAGCAATTCTCTTGCCTCGGCCTCCCAAGTAGCTAGGTCTACAGGCGCCCACCACAGCGCCCGGCTATTTTTTGATTGTAGTTGTCATTGTTGTTTGGCAGGCCCAGGCTAGATTCGAACCCACCAAGTATGGTGTATGTGGCTGGCGCCTTATCCATTAGAGCAGGTGCTGAGCCAAGAGCTTTGGTAAGATTAAGTAGTCACAATTTTTCTCAGTATTTTCACTGAGTTATTGTTTCAAAGCCTGCTAGTTGTCAATCTTTCTTTAGTAACAAGAACTGCAGTTTTTTGTTGGATCCATTGTCTCCCATTGGAAAGATTATTTCTCCAGACTTCCCTGAAACTATGAAAGACCCTGTGACTGGGTTTTGTCTAATGAGATGGAAGTGTTATGCAACTTCCTTAAAAGAAAAGGGCAAACTTCTTCAGCTCTTCCATGTTCTCACTGGATGGAAAGCAGATGTGATGTCAGAGAGAAAAAATACTAAGAGAGCAAAGAGTAAATGCTAAGTGGATGCATTTTACAAAATAGGAAGTTTGACCCAACAGAGTGCAAGCTCTGAGGAACGTGGTTCAGAGCAGGAGAAATGGGGTAAACATGACCTTATCCTGGTACTGTTTTTGACCCACCTTAGACAAGTTTATTGGCAGATAATATCAGGGCTGGATGGAGGTGATGTGCTGCACATATGAGATGTCTATCTCAGGACTGTTGTGGCCAGCTTGCCTTTGCTACATTACTTACACACCTGAGCTGGGATAAGTTACCAGTCAGGTTTACATCTGTGTTGGCATCTGAATGTCCAGGTCAGAATTTATCAATGAACACGAGCTCTAGCACCCATCTTAGACAAAAAGGCCTCACACCACGGCTGCCAGTACATCAGGATGGAGAGAGGTAGGTTCATTTTCTGTACAACAGTCACATGAGCCCTGCTCACTTCTGAAACTTTTTTTACCCAAACAAGAAATATACTTTTAGCTCATTTTAAGTCATTGTTACTTTGGGGTCTATTGCTGGTGGGGTTTTTGTGTGTTTGTTTTTTGGTTACATATAGCCTAATCTATCTTAAATAATGCAGACAGAAAGCACAGTTTACCACCATCCTCTAAGGCAGGAGTTATCTTGCCCCTTCACAACAATAATAATGCAAATTAAGAATACAGAAAAATATGACTTTACAATGCTTGGATTTTTCAAAACAATTTCAACATCATCCAGTTATATTAATCTGTAGCCATATCATTAGGTTATGCTGTTTCTTCCTAGATTTTTACTATAATCAAATAAAGCTAATCTTGTTTTCATACCAATAACCAACTATTTGTTACTATAAACAAATGATTCAACTTTTTCATTAGAAATAGAGCTAAAGGCTCGGCGCCTATAGCTCAACTGGCTAAGGCGCCAGCCACGTACACCTAAGGTGGCGGGTTCGAATCCCCAGCCCGGACCCGCCAAACAACAATGACGGCTGCAACCAAAAAACAGCCGGGCGTTGTGGCGGGCGCCTGTGGTCCCAGCTACTTGGGAGGCGGAGGCAGGAGACTCGCTTGAGCCCAGGAGTTGGAGGTTGCTGTGAGCTGTAATGCCACGGCACTCTACCCAGGGGGACAGCTTGAGGCTCTGTCTCAAAAAAAAAAAAAAAAGAAATAGAGCTAAAATAGAATATAAAGCAAGTATTCCAAAACTTCAGGGAATAGCTCACAGTTGTAGAAACAAAATTAGAAGAAAGGTTTTCATTACAATCGCCTAAAAACCCATCACCCAAAAACTCTGAAAGCCGATAATCTGAACTTCAGTGCAATTCCACAATCATGCCACCTCCTTTACTTCTTCTGTTTTCCTGATTTTCAGTTTCTGCAAATATTTAGGAGGCTTAGACAGGCAGGGCAGAGGTAAATACTAACTTTTCAGCACTATGTAAAAGGTATTTCAGTGTCAAGAAGGGCACAGATAAAATGTTCCAGAAAAGAACTAACAGCAGCTATCTGAAGATTCTGTCAAGGACAGTGCCCAACGCCTCCTGTGCATCTGAAGCGGCATGCCTCTATCTAGCACTATCCTACTCCCAAAGGACAGCTTTGAAAAACAGACACTCTTCCTGGCTCTGCAAGGGTTTATGTGTGTCACTCACCATTTTGAAAGGGCTGACAGATCTAAGAATAAGAATGAATTCTGTTTCCTTAAATATTTTCATGTTCTAAAAAAATGACCCAAAACAAAGATTTACAGACATACATGAATGTTTATGTAGTAATACCTATCTATATCGGTGTTTTTCAACTATGGCACTGTTGACATTTTTGTAGAGCATGTTTAGCTGCACCCCTGGCTTCTATCCACTATCAAAATGTCTCCAGACAAGCTGGGCACCATGGCTCATGCCTGTAATCCCAACACTCTGGGAGGCTGAGGCAGGTGGATTGTCTGAGCTCACAAGTTTGAGCCTGAGCCAGAGGGAGACCCCATCTCTAAAAATAGCCAGATGCTGTAATCGGCATCCAGGTACCTGGGAAGCTGGGGCAAGAGGATCACTTGAGCCTAAGATTAGATTGAGGTTGCTGTGAGCTATGATGCCCTAGCACTCTACCCATGTGACAAAGTGAAATTTGGTTTCAAAAGAAAAAGAAAAAGAAAAAAAAAAAAAACAGAAAGAAAAGGAAAAAAAAAACTATCCCCAGAAATGCTCAAATGTCTGAAAAGGAAAAAAAAAAAATCACCCTTCACCCCCATCAAAACCATTGCTCTGGATATCTTTTTTTCACAATCTCACACAAGCTTTTAACATTTGTGTACAGGCAAAGTTGGCTGCAGGCAGTCTCAGACAATATGAATTTTAGGTAACACTAATTACGGTAAAGCCTAATGAATCTGCAGCCAATGGCCAAAAAGTGGCCCATACTAGACCTTTCAATACCCAACAGGTTTCTTAATTTGTCCTCTGATATCTTTTTAGATTTCTAAGACATCTGCAACTTTGAATCTATAACTTCATTTCCTCTAAATTATGAATGAAAATTTCTGCCTCAGGGCAAAGATTCCTGGAGTAAGATTACGACTGTGGTTAGCCTAGTGAGTGACTGCTTTCTTCTGCAGACAGGTAGGCTTAGTTGACAATAGGTGAAATTCACACCTATTATTCAATGCTGCCTCTGGGCCAAGAAAACCTCCAAAAGGACTCAGGAGAAAGAAAACAAACTAAAATAAGCTTAGAAAACAGATACTGAACGTTTTCCATCTCAATGTTATCTCTAGATGTACAGGGTGTCATGGGGGTGGGGGTGGGGTGGGGTGTCTACAGAAGTAACACTGGCCTTAAACAAACTTTTTAAGTAAAGTTTCAATCACAGGATTTAGCATACAAAACTATGTCCCAGTAAATGTGAGCTGGGATTGTGTTTGTTATTAGTGAAGAGGCTATTTAAACTTCCCATTAAAAAATATTCAGCCATTAAAAAAAGACGGAGGCTTTACATCTTTTCTACTAATCTGGATAAGAGTTGAAGAATATTTTCTCTTCAGTAAAGTATCACTAGAATGGAAAAGCAAGTATCCAGTGTACTCAATACTAATATGAAGCCAGTATACAATCTAATACATACCCACACAAGAGAAAAACTCAATTCAATTCACCCTGGGGGACTGGTGTGCTCCCACCTAAGGGGAACAATCTAAGGGTATAATGTGGCACACCTCGTCGGTGAGAGGCACAACTTCAAAGGGACTCTACCTAAAAAATGCAAACATCGTAACCTAATCATTTGTACCCTCATATTAATCTGAAATTTTTAAAAAAAGAAAAAAAGGAATGCACTAACACACATGTGCTTCAGGCCTTCTCCAAACACCTTCAGAATGCCAGTAAAGGTCTACCCAAAAGGCATACCCCACCTGCGGAAGGAGAGCAGACAAACTTAAGAGGCAACAGCTATAGACTTTTATTTATTTTTGTTGAGACACAGTCTCACTTTGTCACCCTAGGCAGAGTACTCTGGCATCTCTTAGGCCCAAGCGATCCTCTTGCCTCAAACTCCTAGCTCAGGAAATGCACCTGCCTCAGCCCTCCAGAGTGCTAGGATTATAGGCGAGCCACCGTGCCCTACCTAAAAGCAACAGACTTCAGAAGGCAGACAGTGATGGATGGCTATGACCTAGTATATCCTAAAAAAAACTGAATCTCAGCCAGTAGTGAGAAAAGCCAAGAAACAATCTGATTTATTCAGGAAAATCCCCTCTAAGTCTCAGGAATTGGTGAAATCAAGTGACCCTGGGGGCAGGGCTGACTGTGGGGCTAAACACAGGGCTACCACTTTAGATCTGCTCACAGAGCAATGAGACAACATCCCTCCAACATCCTTACCGCCTCCACCCAGCCGAGCAGCTTCCCCTACCCTCTACGGCAGAAAACTATAGGGTTTTTTTTTTCTCCTCACCCTTTCCAGAGAGTAAAACAAACAGGCTCTGGGCACAACAGCAGAGGTGAGGGTGAGGACGCACAGCAACACTGGGGGATGAAGTGGATGTTTACATCTTGAACGCTGTCCAGCCTTCTTCCCCCTCCTGGCTCCTGGGTTTGCTGACAGCCAGGCTTTCAGCCTCTTGAGCAAGGAGATTAGAAGATCTTTTTTGAGGAATTCACCAACCCAAAAAAGGGGGAACTATAATCGCTGGCACTAAGGGTTGCATAAAGCAATGGCACTGCCAGATCTACTACAGCAACACACATAATAACTCACCCATCTATAGTTTTTAAGTGTTTCTTAATATGAGCCAGTGGCCAAAAATCTTCAATATGTAATATCATAGTTCTATTCATACAGGTTAGCATCCCTTATCTGAAGTGCATGGGACCAAAAGTGTTTCTAATTTTATCAGATTTTATATTATTTGCTGTAAAATACTGGGTGAGCATCCAAAAATCTAAAATCCAAAATGTTCCAGTAAGTGTTCCAAAGTTCGTGCTCAAGAAGTTTAAGATTTTGGGCTCTGGGACTTGGGATGCTCAGCCTGAATGGCAGAAGTGAAGGGACTTTGCAGATGTAATAAATGCCCCCCTAGTCAATTGACTTTAATAAAAAAGAAATTATGCTGGAGATGCCAAGCCTCAACAGGTGAGCTATTCTTTTAAAAAGAGAGATCAGAGACAGAAGTGAGAAAAATACTCTCCTGGTGGCCTTCTAGAAACAAAAGGCCTTGTTATGAACTGCCTATGAAGAGGGGTGGCCTCCAGCAGCTGCAAACATCCGTTCTACAACTGCAAGGAAATGAATTTTGCCAACAAGAGGAGAGCCAACCTAATCTGCAGATGAAACCCCAGCTCTGGCTGACACCTTGATACCCTGGTAGTTTTGTCAAACCGTGAGCAGAGGACTGAACCAATCTGTAACCTGTGTATGTTCAACTAAACTCCTGACCCACAGAAACTCCATAATAAATGTATGATGTTTTAAGCTACCTTGTGTAATTTGTAATACACATTAGAGAAAATACAAACCTGTGTGCTGAACAGGTACATTTTACTCTCTGGAAATATTAATACTACCTCAATAAACTAGACTATAAAAAATATAATTGCAGAAATGGAAACTTTTATTTTGAGAATGTAAGGCAAAACTGAAGAAATTACCCAGTTAATGGAACGAAAAAGACAGAAATGGGAAAATGGCAGAGAAGAGATTTTTAAAAATGAAATGCATGGTCAATGAGAGTCAATATCAAAACAAAAGAAATTTCCAAAAGAGAGAAGAGGAAATCATGAAAACTCAAGAAAATTTTCAGAAAAGGCTTGGCACCCGGAGCGCAGTGAATAAGGGTGCCAGCCACGTATGCTGAGGCTGGCAGGTTCAAGCCAGCCCAGACCCGCTAAACAACAATGACAACTACAACCAAAAAAATAGCTGGGCACTGTGGTAAGGCACCTATAGTCCTAGCTCTTGGGAGGCTAAGGCAAGAGAATCGCTTAAACCCAAGAATTTGAGGTGGCTGTGAGCTGTGACTCTACAGCACACTACAGAGGGTGACATAGTGAGACTCTGTCTCAATAAAAAAAAAGAAAAATTTCAGAATACCAAAACATGAGCTTCCAATTTTAAAAGTCTTAGTAAGTGCCCAGTAGAACAACAACAACAAAAAAGATAAAACAAAGTACTAGGTTTTCACTTAAATTAACAAGAATCAGGAGCCAAAATGGCTTTCGACCTTTTTTTTTTTTTTTGGAAACAGGGTCTCTCTCTTTTACCCTAGCTAGAGCAGGAGTGTCCTTAGAGATTACCTCAACCTCAAACTTCTGCACTCCAACAGTCCTCCTGCCTCAACCTCCCAAGTTGGATGGAACTACAAGTGTGCATGCACAACTATCCCCACCTAATTTCTCTATTTTTAGTTAAGACGGGGTCTCACTCTTGCTCCAGCTGGTCTCTAACTCCTGAGCTCAATCCTCCAACCTTAGCCTCCCAAAGAGCTAAGATTACAGACATGAGCCCCCATACTTGGCTGGCTTCAGATTTCTAACTACCCTAAAAGTTAGAAGCTACAGAACAAAGAAATAAAGAAATTTTAAAGTAAAAAATTCAAAAATAGAATTCTCTACCCAGGCAAGCTATCAATTAAGTCCTATTCACAAAGTAGAACATTTAAGACAATATAAGCAAAATTATGTTGTAAAAAAATTTATTTAAAAGAGTTTCATAAAATATACTGTCAGGGCTCAGCGCCTGTGGCTCAAGCGGCTAAGGCTCCAGCCCCATACACCTAAGGTGGCGGGTTGGAATCCCCAGCCCGGGCCCGCCAAACAACAATGATGGCTGCAACAAAAAAAATGGCCGGGTGTTGTGGCGGGCGCCTGTAGTCCCAGCTACTTGGGAGGCTGAGGCAGGAGACTCGCTTGAGCCCAGGAGTTGGAGGTTGCTGTGAGCTGTGATGCCATGGCACTCTACCCAGGGGGACAGCTTGAGGCTCTGTCTCAAAAAAAAAATATATATATATACTGTCAGAACCAACTTGTTAATGACTCCTCAATTACATGAAAATCAATGTCTTCCAATTGAGGATAATAAGGGCAAGGCATGGGGCAATAATAATAATAAGGGCAAGCCTGTGGCTCAGCTGGTAGGGCACTGGCCCCATATATGGAGAGTGGTGGGTTCAAACCTGGCCCCAGCCAAACTGCAACAATAAAATAGCCGGGTGCTGTGGTGGGCACCGGTAGTCCCAGCTACTCGGGAGGCTGAGGCAAAGGTATCGCCTAAGCCCAAAAGTTGGAGAGTGCTATGAGCTGTGATGCCACAGCACTCTACCGAGGGTGATAAAGTGAAACTCTATCTTAAAAAAAAAAAAAAAGAAAAATAGAGTAAGAGCAAGGCAATATAGTCTTTGGAAAGTTAAAATCCTTCACCCATTCTTTTGAGACTTTCTTTCTTTCTTTTTGTTGTTAAAATGTAATTTCTGGTACAACACATAGAAAAACTGTTTTGCAAATATCCACTGAATTAAACCAAATGTATAACCAGACATCTCAAGTACTATACACCTATCCACCCAAAGACTTGTAAGAAAGTTCACAGCATCTTGATTCATAACAGCCATAAACTGGAAGCTACCCAAATATCTACCAACACTATAAAGAATAAGATCATGGTATATTCATACACTGGAAAAGCAGGCAATGGTGAGAAAAGAATGAACAATGGAGAAAGAAAACAACATGGACAAATCACAAAACTAATGAGCATGAGTTCTAACTCCAATACGTACTACATGATTCCGTACATAAAGTTCAAAACAGGTGAAGCTAATCTAGAGTGACTGAAGTCAGAACTTTAGCAGGCAGTGGGGTCTGAGAGGAAGCATGGGGAAGCCTTCTGGAGTAATGAAAATATTCCATATCTTGATACGGGTAGTGGGTACATATCCCATAAGAAAAAAATTCAACTTGTACATTTAAGAAGTACATTTCACCATATATAAGTTACATCTGAATTAAAAATCTGAATAGAATTATCACATAATTGAGAGTATTTTTATACATTATAATTTATTCAATGAAATGCTGGTGAGAGCAAATGATAGCAATTATTATTTTAATATCTATACTTGAAAGATAATAAGTTGCAACTCTATATTAGTGTCCCCAAATGATTTTTTTTTTTTTTTGAAACAGAGTCTCACTTTGTCACCCTTGGAAGAGTGCCATGGTATCATAGCTCACAGCAACCTTTAACTCTTCAGACTGAAGTGATTCTCCTACCTCAGCCTCCTGAGTAGATGGGACTACAGGCACCTGCCCGACTATTTTTAGAGACGGGGTCTCGCTCTGGCTCAGGCTGGTCTCAAATCCGTGAGCTCAGGTGACTCCCTGCCTCGGCCTCCCAGAGTACTAGGATTAAAGGCATGAGCCACTGTGCCCAGACTCCCCCAAATAATTTTTTCCCAACATTTTATTTTGAAAAAGTATATACCTACAGAAAAATGGAAAGAGTAGTACAATTAACAACCATATGTCCTTCATCTGGATTCACAAATTGCCAACACTTTGCTATCGTCATTTTTTCTCTCCCTCTCTGTTTTGGCTGAACTGTTCGAAAATAAGTTGCAGACATCATAACATGTCATCCCTAAAGGACACTGTCTTACATAAGCAAGGTACGATTATCACACCCAAGAAACTTAACAATGACATATTATTATTATTTAATATTTGGTCCATAATCAAATTTCATCAATTTTCCAGAAACATTCTTTTATAGACTACTCCCACCCCCAATCCAGAAAACAATCACAGATTCATGATAGGTTGCTCTGTTTCTTTTTTTTTTTTTTTGAGACAGAGCCTCAAGCTGTCCCCCTGGGTAGAGTGCCATGGCATCACAGCTCACAGCAACCTCCAACTCCTGGACTCAAGCGAGTCTCCTGCCTCTGCTTTCAAGTAGCTGGGACACAGGCGCCTGCCACAATGCCTGGCTATTTTTTTGGTTGCAGCCATCATTGTTGTTTGGCGGGCCCCGGCTGGATTCAAACCCGCCACCTTAGGTGTCTGTGGCTGGCGCCTTAGCCACTTGAGCCACAGGCGCTGAGCCGGTTGCTCTGTTTCTTAAGTCTTCTTCAACCTAGTATACCTTGTCCCCCAACCACTTGTAAGTTTTTTTTAATTTACTTTTGGTCTTTTATGATATTAACAACTCTGGCCCAATATAGCTATTCACATTTTCCTGGAATATGAAATCTAAAAGTCTGCAAATCATTTTTATTTCCTCAGTGCCTTCTACAATCTTTACCACCACATTAGTATTCAAATACCTTTATCCTGACAGGTCTGGATGAAGTTATGTATCCAATACACAGAAGGGATAGGTCAAGGCTTACACCTGGCTCACAATGTATAAGTTAAATTCTGCTTTAACTTACCGCTGAGTGTGAGCAGGCCACGGGGTCTGGTTTGGCGTGGGCACTGAATTCGTGGGACTCACTAGCATGGCACTGTAGATATTGGAAGCAACCACCAGTATGCAGAGAAGTATGGGCCCAATGATTGCCCCTTCCAGGCCTAGGTAGTATGCCCCGCCAGCCACTGCTAAGCCTGTCAGGTACGGATGGCCACCTCTAGAATAAATAGTACACAAATTAGTTCATGACTATTAATACATATAAACTGGAGTAAATTTGAAATACATTTCTAACATAATGTTCATTTTTTAATGTACCATGCTTTCCATTACATCATCAGTTTTCTTTCAATTAGCTCGACACAGATATAATCGAACATTGACTATAATACTGAGACGCAAGAATTTTCTTGTCTGTGCACCAATGTGTGACAACTGCCTCTTTTTATAGTTCCAACAACTGAAAGAACAAAGTCAGCAGTGTTAAATGATATTTTGTGTCCGTTACAGGTGGCTGCCTGAGGTGAGTTACTGTTGGCTTAGGACTAGCTATAAGTCACCTATTAGGTTTACTGCCATCAAGGATAATTAAGTGGGTACAACTTAGCAAGTAATTCAGTTAATTATGGTTTTCATAAGACAATAATAATAGCATCCCTGTTACTTGTAGGCTAGAATTCTAGCCACCTTCTAAAATATACCTTTTAACACAGTACAGATAAAAGACCTCATGAAGAAAATATCTGTCACAAAGCCTACGATTTTTATTTCACAGAAGACTTACAAATGCCCTCCAGCCTGTTACAATATCACCTCCATAAATGGAATAAAACAATACAGACTATAGCAGCACAGGACAATGGTAACAAGGAATGACTGTGACAGGAGAGGGACAGGGAAATAGTCATGTTCTGTTTGTTTCCAGTTTTTAAACACAGATGAGAACAATTTAGTGAGGGGCAAATACAAAATAACCCCACGAGGATGTTCTGTGATATGTAACAGTTTAAAGTAACACTTGCAGTGAGTCCATCCTCAGGAAACCAGTCTATTATACTGCTAAGTTTGTCTGTCTTCCGAGTAAGTAAAAGGGATTTACTGTAGTATTACATGTAAGCTAGGAAAGCTTTTTACCTAAACAATGTATCTGAGAATCTTAAACATGTTTGAAGTTTAAGAAAATAAAGTGGGAACTTTTTTAAAAGAGGTTATTAGAAAATAAAATAATTTATACTAAACCTTTCATTTCCTAATGATGCCAGTTAAGAATTTTATTTATTTATTTTTTTTTTAGACAGAGCCTCAAGCTGTCCCCCTGGGTAGAGTCCCATGGCATCACAGCTCACAGCAACCTCCAACTCCTAGGCTCAAGCAAGTCTCCTGCCTCAGCCTCCCAAGTAGCTGGGACTACAGGTGCCCGCCACAACGCCCGGCCATTTTTTGGTTGCAGCCATCATTGTTTTTTGGCGGGCCCGGGCTGGGGATTCAAACCTGCCACCTTTGGTGTATGTGGTTAGCGCCTTAGCCGCTTGAGCCACAGGCGCCGAGCCTAAGAATTTTATTTTTAAGATAATATCACACATATATCTTAAATTCTACCTACAAACTTGAATATAAAATTTCTAGCAAAATTTAAAGAAATTGATTAAGTATATATAATAAACCTACTTCAACTGTTAAATACTAATCATAGTCTAAAGTTATCATTTTTCATTTTAATTTTTTCCTCAAGTTTAATACATAAAATTAAGACTGGCTCATAACATTGCTTATTTCTTTTTGCTCTGGAGCTCTGGGGGTTTCAGAGTCCTCCTATACCTTTTTTTTTTTTTTAACATTAATTTACCAAAGAGAAAACAAGGTGGCAGTAGCATACAATTTGCCCCTACTTTATTTATCTTTTAAGAGATAGGGTCTTGCTCTGTCACCCAAGTTGCAGTGTTCTAATCTTAGCCACTTGTAACTTTTAACTCCTTGGCTCAAGTGATCCACAAGGCTAATCCTCCCAAGTAGCTGGGATTACAGGTACACACCACCACACCTGTCTAATTTTCTTCTGTCTAATTTTCTTTATTTTTTGTGGACATGGCAGGGGGTCTCACTCTGTTCTTTAGGCTGGTCTCATACGCCTGAGCTCAAGCAATCCTCCCTCCTGTGCCTACCAAAGTGCTAAGACTATAAGTATGAGCTACTGTACCCAACTAGCTTCTACATAATTTAAATTAACTAAAGGGTACTCTTTTATAAACTTAGGACTCTGTCTATTCTACATTTATTTAAAGAAAATAGAATGTATTAACTATTATGACAGTTTCACTAGGCCATATTCTGAATTTGAGTAACATCAAAATTAAACACTCACGTCTTTTATACAATGTCATTTTAAATTAAAATTTCATTAAATCAGTGAGAACTCAAAAGTGTACTTCACTAAATAAATCCCATACCACTTCTTTCACCTACTCCTGAGGGGGAAAAAAAACTCCTTAACAAAAACGCAATAGAAATTACCAACGACTTCAGAAGATCTGTGGGATACTTACCCTGATATATCCGAATAGATTGCAGTATCTACAAAGTATGTTGGCAAGAGGTGAAAAATCAGCAGTAAAATGGCCTTGCATCCCAACCCTTGTGTCAGCCACAGGTCTAGAACAGCAGGTATTGCTGCCCAATACGTCCCCAGAAATGGCACTGCTCCAAGGATTGCTGCTAAAGCTAATAAAAAATTAATAGAAACATTATCAACAAAACAATAGAACCCAGGTGGTAGCTCCTCTTACTTAAAAATTTCCACCAAAACAAGTTAAACAAATATGCACAAACTCAAACTTTAAGAGAATGATAACCCTGTTTAACTGAATTTTCTAGTTAAAGGTTCAATACCTTAAAACTTGATATTGAAAATCTACAGTGTTTTCTTTATGGGTCTGTTCTTAAACAATGTAACTTCGGTGTTATACAGTTGTTATTCTGGTTAGTTAATGTACAGTCCTATAAATATAACCACAGAGGGCTCGGCGCCTATAGCTCAGCCGGCTAAGGCGCCAGCCACGTACACCTAAGGTGGCGGGTTCGAATCCCCAGCCCGGACCCGCCAAACAACAATGATGGCTGCAACCAAAAAATAGCCGGGCGTTGTGGCGGGCGCCTGTGGTCCCAGCTACTTGGGAGGCGGAGGCAGGAGACTCGCTTGAGCCCAGGAGTTGGAGGTTGCTGTGAGCTGTAATGCCACGGCACTCTGCCCAGGGGGACAGCTTGAGGCTCTGTCTCAAAAAAAAAAAAAAAAAAAAATATAACCACAGAGCATGTGTCAAAATTTGTACTGAGCCCAAAGCCAAAACAAATTGGCTCAGATAGGCATGTATATTCTTCACCTTGCTTCTTTCTCATGAAAATGAAATGTAATTAAAAACAAAAAAAAAGTCCTTGCTTCAAGCTCATCCCCTTGCAGAGCACTGTTATACATTTAAGTACTCTCTCTCCATCTGGCCTCCCTCCAGACTAAGAGTCAACTTCTGGTCCTACCACAGCCAGGTGTGTGACCTTGGAAAACTTGGGTTTTGCATCTATAAAATAAGACCACCACCTACCCTGCCTGCCTCATAGGGTACTTGCATGTCAGCAGGTGGGTCAGTAAACACCATGGTAGGAAAAGGACACGAATGAACTTGGGAATGTAAAGAAGGAAGGGGGCACAGAGAAAAGAGGGTGGGAAGGGATGGCCGTAAAAGCAAATGTGGAAGGCAAGAGAAATTTAGAAAACAAGCAGCCACAGAAATAAAAGGAGAAAAAGTGGATAGAGAGGAGTAGAAATAATGTAGAGGTAAAGGAAAAAGATGGATATTAAACCACCTGGTGCTTATGGAATGAGGGCATCATTAGAACAGATCTGGAGACAGCTTATGTGCCCTCGGAAGCATTCACCTTGCCCTAGGATGGTACCCTCTAGAGTTAAATGGATGTTGCTCCCTGTCAAATCAGTTCAATTCAGACATCCACTGAGCACCTAGCTGTTATGCTAAGTGCTAAGAAAGACACTCATTCATTTAACAAGTGGTTATGCAGTGCTTTCTGTGTGCTAGTTAAGGACCTGCTACTACTGGGGGGTACAGAAATAAGCAAACACACAAGGAATCATATTCCTGCCCCCAATCTGAACTAGATTAGATCTTGAGCCACAATATTACGTATTTTAAACTTGAGGAAAGAGACATTTCCTAATGTTTATAAAACAGCTTAACACTCCTTAAATAGAGGATAGTGGGAGTTGTGGTGTGGTTGTTACCTGATGGTATGAAGACAATATTGATGCCAAATATAGTATGAGTCAGCCAGGTGTACAATCCATAGAAACCAGCCATTTTGAGGGAAGCATCAAACACCCCTCTAGATAAAAGAAAAAGTAAATAAACACAGTATCATATATTGTGATTGAGAAAAATCAATACTTCTAGGCCTATGACCACTTCATTCCAAATCTGGGACCAGCTTCAATTTTTCTACTGGCCTAACAAGGCTATTTTCATTTCATTTCAAAGAAACCTAAAAACTTTATCTTAAATCTTAGAATATGTTCAGCAAACTGCTCTTTAAATTTCTCTCTGATAAAAGATAACCGAAGCTCCCTAAAGTATCCTCTTCACTGAAATAATTCACCAACTTTTCATTTCTGAAGCAGGTATTTACCACCAACATAGGGGGAATGAAAATTAATGGTGAATAACATTTTACCAAGGTTCAAGTCCAAGAAACTCAGGCTGTGGCCAGCCCTTCCCTTTGGAAAGGGCAAGTAAGGGACAACATAACTTGTAATTCGTCATCTTTCTTCTCTCATTATCAAAAGCTGCCCACATTTCTTTAACTGTGCAACTAAGCCTGCTGAGTAATATCTTCTACAAATGCTGCCAGAAGCATTCAGGTCACTGGGGAAGAATTTTTTGGGGGGAAAAAATTATGGGAAGAAAAAAACTCCAAATATAAAAGGGATTAAAAAACACATATATTCAGCGATTAATATTAAGAATCTAGTACATGAAAATCTCCAGCCTCAGGAGCTTTGTGTCTGCACTATGTAAGGGAGAGAAATAAGGACGTGTTCAGGGAGAGCAGCAAACCCTAAGTAATCCTGGGGTTCCACCAAAATTATAAACAACCAAGATTTGCGGGGGTTGGGAGGAGCACATTCACACAGTCAGGAGAAGGAGACCCCATGACTGAAAAGGGAGCAAAGGTGACAGTGTACACCCAGCAGCGAACACCAAGAGGGATAGTGTCAGAGCAAATTCAAGCTCTGGAAACTAGTGATTAATTTAATAGGGCTCCGGAACATGGCCCTGGTGACAGCTCCCCAGTTGTGGAACTTTGTCACCCTGCCCAGCAGCCCTCACCAGGGAATGTCATGTGATTCCAACGAGGACCCAGATTAAAGTGACATCAAACATACCAAAAGGGAAGAAGATATCCCAAGGAAAAATAAAGGACCTGAACAGCAAACGAATAGAGGAGACAGAAGACAAAGAGAAAATGACAGAGTGTCAGGATTTAAATCTGAAGGGGAAAGAATGGCAGTGTCTCAAAAATACAGAGAAAGAAAAAGGAGTAGGTTCCATCTGGGCTATAAGACAAAAGGATAATGAAAATACCCCAGAGGTAGCTGAAATAAAAGGCAAGGCTTAATAGGGAACGCAGAGCAAAAGATCTGAAATGCACCAGAATAGATCACTCATAGGAAAAGATTAAAGAGCAAGCAAAGAGAAGATGGGGCAGGAAGTTGCAACCTTACAAGGGAACTAAGGACAAAGATGAAACAGCCAAAGAGATAAGGAGTCATTTCTGTCGAGGAGGAAATCACTGGAGTGTGGTATTCTCAGAAACTGAGGGAGAAGGAAGATTTTGCAGAGGAAGGAACAACAGCAGCAATAACCAAAGAGGAAGAGAGAAAAGTATGAAACTTGTCTAGAACTAGGGAGGTCACAATGAGATAAGATATAGAAATGCTACTTTTGTTAACCTTATGTTATTTTAAAAATTTATAAACCAAAAATAAGTGGACATCTCAGGTTCAATAGAATACTGAAACTAAATCAGACCTCGGAATGGTAAGTAAGCAAAGCTCAGTCCCAAGAGGATCACTTACATGAAGCAGCATGGTCTTCCCTCTTCCACCTCTGAGAACACTCATCGAGGCAACTTACTTTTACTTTCTTTTTTTTTTTTTTTTTTTGAGACAGAGCCTCAAGCTGTCCCCCTGGGTAGAGTGCTGTGGCATTACAGCTCACAGCAACCTCCAATTCCTGGGCTGAAGCGAGTCTCCTGCCTCCGCCTCCCAAGTAGCTGGGACCACAGGCGCCCGCCACAACGCCCAGCTATTTTTTGGTTGCAGCCGTCATTGTTGTTTGGCAGGTCCGGGCTGGGGATTCGAACCCGCCACCTTAGGTGTATGTGGCTGGCGCCTTAGCCTGTTGAGCTATAGGCGCTGAGCCACTTTTACTTTCTTTATCTTTGAGACTCTGCAACCCAGGCTGGAGTGCAGTGACATACTCATAGCTCCCTGCAGCCTTGAACTCCTGGGATCAAGTGGTCCTCTTGCCTCAACCTTCTGAGTAGCTAGGACTACAGGTACTTAACATACCTAATTTTTTTTTAAAAAATTTTCTAGAGACAGGGTCTCATTATGTAGCCCAGGCTGGTCTCAAACTCCTGGCCTCGCTCTTCTCTTCGCCTCCACTCTCTCCCCTCTTCTCTCTCCTCCTTTTCTCCCCTTTTTTCTTCTCTTTTTCTCTCCTCCTTAGTGCTGCTCTGCAACCTCCCTCCCCCACCAATAAAGACCTTTCAAAAAAAAGAAAAAACTCCTGGCCTCAAGCAATCCTCTTGCCTTAACCTCCCAAAGTGCTAGGATTATAGACATGAACCACCACACCCAAGTTGCCAAGGCAACTTTTACTTAACTTGTGGGCTAAGTATTTTTGCAGTTACTAAACATGTAACCCAATGAAGGATGAAAAATAATATACTCCCCTCAACCTCATAACTTATGACCTGGTATACAATCTTTATGAAACAGCAGAGAAAAATCCTCTAACGATTTACTCAGAAGAGAATTTAACTTACCCCAATTTTTTTCTCTCTTGTTAATGTATCAGCTATACTGAACTACAATTTACAAATAACAGAACTCACAATTTTAGGTATCCAATTCAGTAATTTTGACAAACATATAAGGTTCCATAACCACCACTACTACCAAGACAGGGAACATTTCTATCACCTCAGGAAGCTTGCTCATGCCCTTACTACTCAGTCCCTCCCTAAACCCTAGCCTCTGACAGCCACCAGATATGTTTCCTGTCCACTACAATCTCATCTTGTCTATAAATTCATATAAACACAATCATAATTTATATAGCTCTTTATAAACTGTGGTAAAATATACATAGCATATTTACCATCATAATCATATTTAGTGTACAGTTCAGTAAAGTTTATGTACTCTGTCAGTGTGTAGCTTTTGGTATTTGGTTTCTTTCATAGCATAATGCTCATCCCCACTGATGAGTATATTAGTAGTGTGTTCTTTACTGTTGTTGAGTACTATTCCATTATAAGGATATACCATCATTTGTTTACCCATTTTCCAACTGAAGGACATTTGGGGTGTTTCCAGTTGGGGGCTATTATACTATTATGAACATTCAAGTACAAGTCTTTATATAAACATATGCCTTTATTTCTCTTCTGTAAACACTTAGGAGTGGAGACAGTCATATAGTGTCTGTTTAACTTTATAATAAACACTAGCAATTGTTTCAGAAAACATTGATAGTCCATGGGTACCAACCAGAAGTCACTGCCTCCTACATCACAGGTCTCCTCCAGTGAGAGGTAACTCCACATATGGTATTAAGTGGGTGGATACCAACAGAAAGAGAAATTCAGCTCATGCACGGCTGCATGCTGATGCATCTGAAGTCCCTAGTAATGGACCATTGCACAGTAGGTGCTCATTAACAGGGGCTATCAGAAAATGTGGTATGTGTACATATATACACATTCACAACGTAATACGAGTCAGTCCTTTGCAGCAACTGGATGAGCCTGAAGGACTCTACACCAAGTGAAATAAGCCAGGCACAGATACCACAGGACCTCACTCAAGGTGGAATTTAAGAGTTGAACTCACAGAATCACAGAAGCAAAGTGGTGGTTGCCAGAGGGCAGGAAGATGGTCAAAGAGGACAAAGGTTCCATTAGGGTAAGTTCAGGAGATCTGTACAGCACAGTGATATTAGTTAATAATAATGGGTTATATGCTTGAAAACTGCTGACAAATCTTAAATGTAATAAAAAAAGAATAGGAGACAACTGATACATTAGCTAGATTAACCTTTTCATAACATATACATATACCCAAACATGTTCTACACTATAAACTACAATATAAACTATTTCTTAATTTTAAAAAAAAATTTTTTTTGTTTATTTTATTTCGTCGCTTATTTTTTATTTCTTTCCTTTTTTTTTTTGTCGAGACAGAGTCCCACCCTGTGCTCCTGAGCAGAGTGCAGTGGCTTGGTAGTTCACTGCAACCTCAGACTCCTAGCTTGTGGGCATCCCGCTGCCACTGCCTCAGCCTCTGGAAGCCGCTGGGATTACAGGTGCTTACCACGGCACCCGGCTGGGTTTTTCCATTTTTTTCGTAAGTGGGGGTCTCACTTTCGCTCAGCGAGTCTTGAACTCCTGAGCTCCAGCGATTCTCCCTCCTCAGCCTCCCACAATGCTGGGATTACAGGCATAAGCCACCGCACCTGGCAATTTCTTAATTTTTTTAAATACAGGGTCTCACTCTGATGCCAAGGCTGGAGTGCAATAGTGTGATCACAGCTCACTGTAACCTTTTACTCCTGGGCTCAAGCAATCCTCCTGTCTCAGTCTCAGCTTCCCAGTAGCTGGAACTACAAGTCTGCACCAATGTGCCCAACTTCCCAGCTAATTTTCTTATGTTTTATAGAAACTGGGCTTTTGCCCTGGCTGCAATCTTCCCATAAAGCACTAGGATTAAGGTATGAGCCACTACGCCAGGCCTATATAATTTTCATTTGTCAATTACACCTTATTTTTATAAAGAAAGAAAAATAAGTTAAAAAAAGAAAAAGTCCTTTGGCCTCTTGCCTCTTCACACTTTTGTTACAACAATGGAGCCCCGTTTATGTCGATGGCAAATGTATTTTGCTCTGTAAACCTATCTTTCTCTTCCTCAGTAAACTTTGTTTCACTCTTGCCTTAAAAAAAAAAAAAAAAAAGGCCTGGGCAGCACCTGTGGCTCAGTGGGTAGGGTGCAGGCCCCATATACCGAGGGTGGCGGGTTCAAACCCGGAAAACCCGGCCCC